CGGCACCGAGTGTGAGCTCTTTCAAGAGAAGACTTGACCAACACTGGAGCGGGTTCAGGTACATTCAGGAGCCGGTGCATGCCCAGTATTTGCCAACAGTGCGTGACAGAGACGTGACCGATCGCCCGGGCGGCTAGCGAGCCGACCTTTTGGTGAAGAATATAAAGGAAAAGAGACGTGACCGATCGCCCAAGCGGCTAACAAGCCGATCAGTGGCGAAGAGGATAAAAGTAAAAGTAAGATAGTGACTGAGATGGCTGGATTTTTGGTTCCTCGTCCTGACGTAAGCAGCCATCGCAAATATTATCAACTTATAAATGCATCAGAATCTGAAACAGAAAAAAATATTGTTAGTTGGGTTGTTAAAGAATGAAGTCAGAAAGCAATGTTCACTATTTAATTGTAATGCACTAATGCAGCTGTACGTTAGATTTTCGATAAATTTCACGCTAAAATTTACCTAGCAAAAGGTTGCAAAATATTGAAACTGAAATTATTTTCTGCTTATATACACTAAAATCTACCAAAAAAGTGATGGGCCATTAGTTTTAGCTGATCTTCCCTCCTATGACACACCCTAATACCCATACGACACTGAAGGCAGGATGCTTGGACTAAAACTAACAAAAAGAGGATATATAACATATTTAAAAGATAAAGAACGACAGGCAAGAATAAGATTATCAAAAATAAAACGCTTTAAGAACCTTAGCATTAATAACAAAAGAAAGATTTATATTGCCCATGTCAAATCAATTATGGACTACCCACCCATCCCATTGAACACCCTCAGTAAAACGAGCATTAAAAGGTTACAAACAGTACAAAATACAGCCTTCAGATTTATATATAACATAAAATACACAGACCACATCAACGATGAACAGCTACACAAGAGAGCAAACCTCTTAGCAATCAATGTAGAAATACACAACAAAGCTGCAAATATTTGGAAAAAAGTGACTGAACTTAACACAGAAACATATCAAAACTGGATAAATAATATTGACAACGAAGAATTCCAAGAACACAGTTGGTTTAAATCAGCCAGGAAGAAAGTAATTGAACCATCTCCTGCCCCAATATACACATAAAACATTAATAGAGAGAATAAAAGATAAGCGTGACCTACCAGCTCCACTAAGAACCTGGCAGGCCTCTCCATACAGTGTACCTTTAGACTAACATAACTAACATTTAACATTTAACATTGAACTAACATCTTAGCAAAAAAAAAAAAAATGTAACTACCCTCCCAGCTACACAAGGACCTGGGCGGGCTCACTAACTCCATCGGGAAAAAAAAAATAATAATAATAAATGTGATTACCCTCCCAGCTACCTCAGCCAGGAAGAAGTAATTGAACCACCTCCTGCCCCAATATACACATATACACATAAAACATTAATAGAAAATAAAAGATGAGAGTGACCTACCAGCTCCACTAAGAACCTGGCAGGCCTCTCCATACAGTGTACCTTTAGACTAACACAACTAACATTTAACTAACTAACATCTTAGCAAAAAAAAAAAAATGTGACTACCCTCCCAGCTACACAAGGACCTGGGCGGGCTCACTAACTCCATCGGAAAAAATAATAATAATAATAATGTGATTACCCTCCCAGCTACATCAGCCAGGAAGAAGTAATTGAACCACCTCCTGCCCCAATATAAACATATACACATAAAACATTAATAGAGAGAATAAAAGATGAGAGTGACCTACCAGCTCCACTAAGAACCTGGCAGGCCTCTCCATACAGTGTACCTTGAGACTAACACAACTAACACTTAACTAACACCTCAGAAAAAAAAAAATAATAAAAAAATAAAATGTGACTACCCTCCCAGTTACACAAGGACCTGGGCGAAATCACTAACTCCAACAATAATAAAAATAATAATAAGCAGCATTATATAAATAAACCAATATTAATACAAAGGTCTGACGACCCAAGGGAGCAGAACAAAGATAAAACACCAATAGGAAAGATGAAGCGATCTGGTTGAACCCAGATTCTTTCTACTCCTACTGTATTTCAGTTTCACCACTTTTCCTTCAATCCCTAATAATCTTCTTTCACCTCATAACTAAAGACTCCGTACCGTATGTACCGACCTCTCTCTTTTCTACCTACACCAACCAGCAAGCAACACCTCCTCCTCCTCCTGCCTGGCGGCCCTCGCTCCCACCGGCGAGCATGGCGACCCACAAGCTGGTCCTCCTCTGAGCATCCTCATCAATCAGCTCTCTCTACATCACGCTTGAAACCACGCTGCCACTTCCCAGCACCAAGCTGCACTGTACATCCAATACAATATGTATACAGAGAGCAAATTGTGAATTTCGTTTCTCCATCCCATCCTGAGTGTGAACCCAACAACCCGTACCCCACAAATGGTGACCCCCGGAGATTCGCACTCACACAGGATGGAGGAGAAACCGATCACTCTCCCAGTCTTCAAGCAACATGGAAGACTGGCTTATTCACACAGAGGAAGCTCTCATCGGCTCTACAGCTACTGTCTCTACACAGCAGGTTAGACAACCTAGAGCAGCTCTGCGACTCTAAGCAGACAGCCGGTCCTCTTCCTGCCCCAAGCACCACGTCCTACCGACCCCAGCACACCCGTCCTGCCTCAGACGCCGCCCCCGGCCCAGCAGTACCCCCTGCCGCTCCTCCTGATGCAGCCCCTGCTCCTGACGCGGCCCATGCGCCTGAGTGCGGACCCACACACCCCTCTTTTCTCCCTCAGGTACCCCCTGCTACTGTCCTGCACCCTGCTGCTGTTGTGGACCCAGCTGCTGTCACGAGCCCTCATCCGCTCCTGCTGATGCAGCCCCTGCTCTTGACCCAGGCCCACACACCCCAGCAGGCGCATCTGAGGACTCTGTACCTGTCGCGAGGGAAGCACAACATTCACCGCTTCCACAACCCTCCTTCTCCCTCTCTACTCCCACAGATGTTGTGTATCTAGACAGTTGTCTCCTCTAGCGGCCGGCTCATCCACGCCCTCGCCGTTATGGCTCACATGTGCCATGCAACCCTGCAGAGAACAAGTCTCCTACACCGCCTGGAGGGAAGGGTGGAGTACTGTAGTGGATACCTCCCCTACAAACGCTGTTTGTCGCTGAGTAGCCGACCCCGCGAATTCCCCAGTGTATGCCTCGTGGTCTAGGTCAACCCGTGCCGCCTTACATGACGGAGGTCAACTATTAAGCCATGCCTACCTCCGCTATATAAGACCTGACCTCGTGGTGACCTGTCTCTTTCTACCTACAGCCAGTCCTCAAGTAACACCTCCTCCTCCTCCTGCCTGGCGGCCCTCGCTCCCACCGGCGAGCATGGCGACCCACAAGCTGTCCTCCTCTGAGCACCCTCACCAACTAACTCTCTCTTTCTACCTACACCAACCAGCAAGCAACACCTCCTCCTCCTCCTGCCTGGCGGCCCTCGCTCCCACCGGCGAGCATAGCGACCCACAAGCTGGTCCTCCTCTGAGCATCCTCACCAACCAGCTCTCTCTACATCATGCTTGCAACCACGCTGCCACTTCCCAGCACCAAGCTGCACTATACATCCAATACAATATGTATACAGAGAGCACATTGAGAGTTTCCTTTCTCTGTCCCCTCCTGAGTGCGAACCCAATATCACGAAACCCCACAAATGGCGACCCCCGGAGATTTGCACTCACACAGGATGGACGAGAAACCGATCACTCTCGTAGTCTTCAAGCAACGTGGAAGACTGGCTTATCCACACAGAGGCAACTCTCATCGGCTCTACAGCTACTGTCTCTACACCGCAGGTTAGACACCCTAGAGCAGCTCTGCGACTCTAAGCAGACAGCCGCTCCTCTTCCTGCCCCAAGCACCACGTCCTACCGACCCCAACACACCCTTCCTGCCTCAGACGCCGCCCCAGCCCAGCAGTACCCCCTGCCGCTCCTCCTGACGCGGCCCCTACTCCTGACGGGGACCCAGACACCCCTCTTTTCTCCCTCAGGTACCCCATGCTGCTGTAGTGGACCCAGCTGCTATCACGAGCCCTCATCCGCTCCTGCTGAAACAGCCCCTGATCCTGACCCAGGCCCACACACCCCAGCAGGCGCATCTGATGACTCTGTACCTGCTGTGAGGGAAGAATAACATTCATTGCCTCCACACACCCTTTTTCTCCCTCTCTATTCCCACAGATATTGTGTATCTAGACAGTTGTCTCCTCTAGCGGCTGGCTCATCCACGCCCTCGCCGTTATGGCTCACATGTGGCATGCACCGCCCGTTTTGCCTCACATGTGCCATGCAACCCTGCAGACAACACGTCTCCTACACCGCCTGGAGGGAAGGGGGAGTATTGTAGTGGATTCCTCCCGTACAAACGCTTTTGTCACTGAGTAGCCGACCCCGGTCAACCAGCGCTGCCTTACATGACGGAGGTCAACTATTAAGCCAAGCCTACCTCTGCTATATAAGACATGACCTCGTGGTGACCTCTCTCTTTTCTACCTACACCAACCAGCAAGCAACACCTCCTCCTCCTCCTGCCTGGTGACCCTCGCTCCCGCCGGCGAGCATGGCGACCCACAAGCTGGTCCTCCTCTGAGCATCCTCACCAACAAGCTCTCTACATCACCCTTGTAACCACGCTGCCACTTCCCAGCACCAAGCTGCACTGTACATCCAATACAATATGTATACAGAGAGCAAATTGTGAGTTTCCTTTCTCCATCCCCTCCTGAGTGTGAACCCAACAACCCATACCCAACAGCCTGGTCTTAACCTGAACTAGGTAACAGTTAAATCTGAATGACAACACTATAGGTGACATTCGCAAGATAATTATTTTTTTATTACTGCGTCAAAATAATAATTTGCAGTACTAATTGTTATAAATATTACAAATATACGATACATAGTTTATATCTATATATCCAACAAAGAATGGCAATAAACACAATAAAATCGTGTTGTATAGGGTGTTGTGAACGTACCAGCAGCAGCTGTTATAGTCAACATTTGTTGGGCGGCGTGAACGACGATGGCCTCAATCTCAGATTCTCACAGAACATGCAACTTGTAAGTAGAACATGACCATGCCACAAAAATATACTTTGACTTAATAAGTGACACATATATTTAGGTTATTTTTTGTTATCCACCGATTACCTTTTTTCACATGAAAAAATATATTTCTTCTCTAGTTTTCTTGCTGTTTTCGATGATTCTGACATTTGTCTTTAGGGTATATCCCCTTTTTTCGGTAATTTTATAAGACCAACCCGCTAGCGAAATTGATTGAAAACAATTATAAAAAATACTGGATTTTCATTGTTATATTATAGTAGATACTGTTGTAGTTTGTGGAAATATGTTAAAAAAATGATATTTTTAAAATAAACGCTATTTAACATTTGTGGGTATGAAGAACAGACGAAACCAACCAAATCAAACAAACCTACTTAACCTTACCTAACTTCCCCCGTATATTAACAGAAAGAATTTACTATATGGTGAAATTTTAGGCATTTTCTGAACGTGAGATGATGCGGCCGCAGTGGCGTTAAGCAGCCCTGTCGGGTTAGTCCTATATATTAACCTTTTTATTTTGTTGGGTTAGGTTAGGTTGGTTGGTTCCTTTAGTATGAGAATAGGTTATTTTTGGTGTATTACTCAAATATGACCTTCATTTTTTATGCAAATTAATTTTTTTGCCCCCAAAATTAACTTTTTCATTTTAACAGAAACCGCTAATTTGCACAAAAATGGAGGTCAGATGTGAGTAAAACACCCCAAAAATAACCTATTCTCATACCAAAGGAACCAACCAACACTAACCTAGCCTAACCTATTCTCATACCAATGGAACCAACCAACCAACCAACCCAACCTAACCTAACCTAACTAAAAAAAAAAATTTGAGTTGCCCCAAAGGTAAATGTCAGAATCATCAAAACAGCAAGAAAACTAGCAAAAAAATAAATTTTTTATTTGAAAAATGGTGATGGGTGGATAACGAAAAATTACCTTATACACTACAGTACATGTTAGGTAGTTTTGGATATCGGTAAAACTATTTTTTCAGTCATGTACCCATTTAGAATTAGTCAGGATCATTCGAAACAAAAAAATCATCAGAAAAACATAATTTCAACCTAACCCTTTGTAACCTAACCTAACCTGACCTGACCTAAGCGTAAAATTCTAATATGTACAGCATGACCAAAATGATAATACGTACGGTAAATTTACTGAATAGCACTGTTCTCTCTCTGAAAATTAAAAAAATATTTTTCCTGTGGATTTTGATGAGTTTCAAACGAATTAGATATTCATTTCTGCCGGAAATCACTTGTTTTTTAATACACCCCCCCCTCTCCCCCAACAAGGGAAGATGTTGGGAAATTTGAGTTTTTTGTTAGGTAAATCACTGACGGCCATTTTTTTAGACACTCGGGGCAGCAAGCCCGAAGAGCAATCCCGAATATCGGGTTACTGTTTACTAACTCGTCAAATGGATTCGTCAAACTCGAATATCAATCCCGAACATCGGGTTACTATTTAGTAATGCGAACGCCGCAACTCGAGAGGTTTGGTACGCTTTATCCAAGATAAATATAAACAAACCAGGTCGACCCGAGTGCCAAAATTGAAGCAGAAACATGAGTTGTGGAGACAAAAGTTAGTCTTCAAGGGAGAAGGCAGACATCACCACCAATTATGCCAGCGTTTACACCAACAGGAACACTTGGATCAACTGATCCAACATCAGGATCACCCGTGCCACCAACAGCAACATCAACATCCAGTCACAGGGGAAAGAAAAGGAAGCAGGTGAAGAACAGGAATGAATGCTTCATTGCCATTATTAAGGACAGTACACAAGAACTGAATGGTGCTATATTGGCCTTCACTAGTATGTACAATACATTATCAGCTCAATCTGTGTGTAATGTATTTAGAGAAAGCATTAGACTTGTTGACCAGTGGCACATGTCAAGAGTGCAGCCATAATTCCACCTCTGGCTGTGGGCAATTAAGTTTAATTATGGAGACTTTGCCATCAGTGTCATAATTGATAATGTATAAACTGTGATTTTTTTTCTGTCTCTCTCTGTTTACTATTTTTTCTTTGGCACTTAATGGAGATTATGAAATATTTTTTATGTTCCAACATTTATGTGTTTTTGTTCTTTTGGGAAAACAAATAGATTCTTTCAACTTAATTTGTTATATAATGTCTGATACAATATACAGTACTGTGATACTGTGTATTGTACACTCATACTTATTGGAAAAATGTAAATGTCTTTTTTTTTCTGTTTACTGTTTTTTTTTTGCACTTAATGGAGATGTGAACTCATATTTTGTATGATCAAACATTTGTTATGATTTTTTGTACCTTTACTTCTTGTGAAACCAAAATAGATTCAACATATTTTTTACTAGAATTCCATATACAATATACAGGTACTGTGATACTGTATAATATATACAGCTCCTCCCTTGCGACTGGGTTAGGGACCCAAATCCAGGTCGTAAGTCGAAATGGTCATAAGTCAAAAATGATTAAATAATACTGTTCATAGAAAATCTAAAATGGGTGTCTCTTTTTCTTCTCAGCACCACAAAACTCTCACTTTTAAGCTTGCCAGCCATTTTAAAGTGAATTACAAACGAAAATTTTCCCTGTGTACTGACATTGGGACTCGAAAATACTGTACGTAATTTGACAAAATTTTGGTACGACTGAAGCAGGTCGTAAGTCGAGTAGGTTGTAACTCGGGAAGGAGCTGTACTCATACTTATTTGGGAATTTTAATCATTCTTTTATTTCACATTTCTTTTGTACTTTAATTGCAATTTCAATACAGATACAGTACAGTACTTCTAAAATCATTCAAGAATGATAATTGCTATTACTGTATTTGCAATTTCAAACTAAGTATGATTACTATTAATTTATATACAGGACTGTACAGGTACTGTGATAATTTTGGTTTTAATGCTTGTTCTTATTTATAGGAACTAAAATTTTTTATGGATTTCTCTGACACTTGCAAACTACAGGTTGTACCTCTCTAGTCCGGCAACCTCGGGACCTGACCGGTGCCGGACCATGGAAATTCACACTTTTCCTGGATAGCTAGTGACTTGTGCTTATGCTTGGAAGCACTAGCACCACTTTCTCTGCATCATGGTCTCTTTGAAGACATATTGAAGGGTTAAATGTCGTATAGTAGCTTCTCAAATTTCACGAGTTTTTAATTCAACGTATTTTATTGGAACACACACAAAAAAAATAAAGAAAAATTTTGATGGCGGAAACTTGAATTTCGACGGGTTTGAACGGCCCGCCAACGTGCATAATCGTGTAAACAGCGTCATTTCTCTTATGTACAAAAGATTCATTATTGTTTATTACTGAATGTCTTTTTTTATTGAATTAATGTTTATGTGTGCAAAATGAGCAATACAATTCATTAATAATACGTAGAATATTAGAACACACGAGGAAATGACACAGCATTGTTTTCGTTGATTACAAAACCAGTGACTGACTGGTTCTACATATAAAACTGAAGAAAATAAGATCTTGGTTGTAGCTGTAGTAAAATTAATATGGTTGTTTTAAGTAATGTTATTTGATGTTAATAAATGGAACAATAGAAGTAGCTAACGATAATGGTAAAGAAAAAAGAGAGATCGCGTATGTAAGTGCGCACACGTGAAAACATATCGTCATTACTTTACATAAGAATATGAAAGCAACACTCATTTACTGTTCATATATATTTTAATTAATGTTTCTGAATTTGTTTTTATTGAATTAATGTTTGTGTGTGCAAAATTAGCAATACAATCTATTAATAATACGTGGAATATGAAAACACACGATGAGACGAGACGGCTGCCGGCATTGTTTATGTTAAAGCTTAGAAAACCAGTGACTGATTGGTTCTACATATAAAACTGAAGAAAATAAGACCCTGATTGTAGCTGTAGTAAAATTAATGTAAAAAATATTAATATGGTTGTTTGAAGTACTTGTAACGTTATTTAATGTTAATAAATGGAACAATATAAGTAGCTAACCATTAATGGTAAAAAAAAAGTGAGACTGCGCGTATGTAAGTGCACACATGTGAAAACATATTGTCATTACTCTACATAAGAATATGAAAGCAACACTTATTTACTGCTCATATATATTGAAGGGTTAAATGTTTTACTCTGTATAGACAAGCAGAGAGTGAGAGAGAGACCAGCCGAACTACCGGATGTAAATAAACCCTAATTTCCTGCGGCTTTGTTGTTTTTTTTTATGGGGATTAGCCCACCCGGGCATAGGTCACTGACCCACATTGGGGCCTGAGGGGCAAAAATTTAATACTCCTGTAATAATAATAATAATAATAATTCAGATAAGTAAAAAAAAAAAATGCTGCCTATCTACCTATTGGACAAACTAAACTCGTTCCGGACCACGGGAATTTCCGGACCACAGAATGCCGGGCTAGAGAGGTACAACCTGTATTTTAGTACAGTATAGTACTTTGAAGCCTTTAAACATGTGTACATTTATTATTTCAAGCAAAATACTAAACTGTTTGAATGATACTGTATAATTTTACATACCTGTATGCTGTACTGTACAGTCGGCCCTTAACATACGCGGGGGTTACGTAACAGAGATACGCGTGGATGTTAAAAATCCGCGTATATGTGCCCCCCCCCAAAAAAAAAAAACCAAAAAAAACTGGTCCCCCCATGTCCTTATTTACCGTATATACCTGTGTGTAGTTCAAGTTTTTAAGACCAAATTATTTGGCAAAAAATTGGGGGTCGACCTCTAAACGGGTAATAGTTTCGTTAGGTTGAAAAATATTTACAAGTAACTACCAGTAAACAATGGAAACGATGCACCAATGCACCACCAGCTGTGAGTGTCGGTACAGTTGCCAGGGCAGATCTCTTGCGTCATCATAGCAAGCCCAAAGTAGCCAAATCCATGGTATGGTAGCACAGGACGATGTAAAACATAAAGTATTCATTTATTAAAGTTTATTTATAGATAC